CTTTTTGATGGATCCACATCCCAACACCTCTGCATCATTTGTGCATAATCTTCAGGCATTCCTGGTAATATTGGTGGTCGTAAACCTTCTTCACATATATCAAAAATTAAACAATGATCATGAGCTCTATCATCAAATGGTGGATGACCTGCAAATATTTCCCACATTAACATTCCAACACTATAGATATCAGATGCTTTGGTGTTCCTTTTTCCTCTAAGTAGCTCAGGTGCAACATATGATACAATTCCATAGATTTTATCTGATGATTTTTCATCAACTGATCCACATAATCCTAAATCTGTAATATAACAATTACCTCCTTCCACAAGTATATTGCCACTATGTAAATCACAATGGATTAAATCTTTTTGATGTATATCATCTAATGCATCACATAAATAATCAAAGATTATAATTTTGTCTTTTAATGTTAAATTAAAATGATTTTTTTTCAAGTAACCCCTTAAATTTCCTTCTGGAGCATAATCTAAAACTATTGCATAATTTCCATTATCTGGGAATTTAGTTATGCCATAACAAGGATTAATTAAATTTGATTTAATTTTACAATAATTCATTGCCTGAAAATAAATATAAAATCAATTAGCATTGTATAATACAATGTTATTGTTAACTTTGTTTTAAATGACAACTGCCAACCTCATCAAAAAAGCTTTTTCCTGGATTACTTGAATCATTCAAACTTTTTAATACTACATCTTTCTGTTTACGATAACTAAATTCCTTTTTATTTTCATTATAATCAATTATATATCCCCTTGTCCATTCAGCAGTATAAATTGAACTAAATCCACCCTCTGTCAACTTGGTTACTTTTTCAAATTGTTCAAAAGGTATCCATTCTATAATTTTAGTTGGCAGAGATGATTTCATTTGACATTGTTGAATGAATTCATCAACTATGTTGTTTCCAGATGTCCAAGTAGTGAAAAGACTCTGTAATTGTAAACTAATGCAACCCTTACAGAATCTATCAGAGTATCTTGTTGATTTACACTTATTACATTCTTTTGATTTACCATGTTTATACATTACATTAATTAATTCAACATCATAAATAAACTCTTCTTTACAATATTCTTTTTCATTCTCAGAAAGCTCCTCATTTTTTTTGACTAATGAAAAATAATAATCTTTTCTACTTTCTTCATCAGAACTCATTAGAGCATTATTATACATTTCATTACGAACTTTAATTACAAATCTCCTTCTTTCTGGTGATAATAATTTGTAATGAGACATTATATAAAAATAAGTGTATTTATAAAATTTAAAAATTTGACTTGGCTCAATCTATTGTGTTTTATTGAATAGAGTGGAAAAAACCTTTTTTTTTTTTTTGTATTGAGAATGACAGTAGTCCATTTATTTATTCATTCATTTATTTATAATTCTTTATATTATTTCCTTTTGCAATCTATGTGAATTTGCAATTCACACGTGTGAAATTCAAATTAGCCAATCAGAATTTCATATCCAAACACTCCAACCCAAAATTTAATTATTATTATTATTATTATTATTATTAGATGATCTGCACCGTATCTTTTTTAAAAAACGCGTAAATTCTTTGAGAGTTATTGAAATTTCCTTAGGGTGTCCAGGATTATGCTTTTTTTTCTTCCAAATTATGCACTGGTGCTTTTTTTTTCTAGAATTATGCTTTATGCTTTATGCTTTTTTTATAATTTTTGGGCAAATTTATAATTATTCATCAGAAAAATTAAAATATATGAAATTTAATTTTTTAATCGAATCATCTTTTAAAGCTGTGCATTTATCAGTTAATATACTTTTATAAATTGAAAAAGATCTTTCAGCATCAACATCGGACACAGGAAGTTTCATCAACAGTTATACTAATCATTTTATTTTTATTAAAATTTTTAATTTCTGTACTTCAAATTCATAATTCATTGGTATATTTTTTTCAAGTGATTTGAACCTACAATATAACCTCCTAGGAAATAATAAAAATAAAAATAAATGATAATTTACATTAAAATATTCAAATTAATTTTTTTTAAATTTTTTTTGATATGAAAATTTTCTTACCATTCTTACAATATCAATTAAAAAGACTTTAATTTATCTATTTTATCCAGAGGAATATCAGCTTTAGTAAATGCTTCAATAATTGCAATATTGATTTTGTCACGATCATTATTAGTGAAAGAAAACAAAGAACTTTGTAAAGGTTGTGGATTATTTTTATGTTTTTGTTCAGCAGCTTTATGTTTCATTGATTCTATATGCTTATCAACAATTGATTTTTTTACATGATTTATAGTATGGTTACAAAAACGACAATTTAATATCATCGTCGATCACACATAAAGGTAAATTATACACATAGATTATGTGATTATGCCAAAAAATGGTAATTATGCTCGATTATGCGATTATGCTCAAAAATTAAGAAATATGCAGCGATTTATGCAAAAGCACAATCTGGGTCACCCTATCCATCACCATGCTTAATACTTAAAATTTTATTTACTATTTGTAATACGAATTTGAATCTGCGCGTGATGTTTCACTACATATATCAATATGCAAATATTTTAAGTAATGAATTAATGCTAAAAAGCTTTTAAAAGATTATTACAAGAAAAATATTCTATTTACTTAAATAATCGGGGATCTAAAAACAGAAACAGTTGACCAACTAATTAATTCAACTGCAGCCACTACATAAGAATTTTTTTAATTCTTTGTTAAGAGCAAACATTCTTTAGCAGGTCTTTTAACAATTTATAATGATAAATGTCAACGTGGTTGGATGTTGAATTCATAAAATTAAACAAGTGTATATATATATGTGTGTGTACAATATGCAAATCTATTTCTCCAAAGGGAAGGCATCACTACTCTAATCCTTCAATTATCAACTCAATTGCTAAACAAGCCTTATGAACCAGGTGGGCTGGGTGGGCAATTAAAACCGCTTCGAACAATGCTGTGACCCTAAAATATTTTGAATTCCCTTCGAAATTACTCATTTTGTTTGCTTTATTCGAATAACATTTTTCAAATAGAAATCCTACTCAAGTAGCATAGTTGATTTTAGTTTAGTTGCCAAATTTGGCGATTTCATAATTAATAACTCGAACCACACTTTCGCAGCAATTAATATCTATCAGTCACAGGACATGTCACGCAGATCAATATGGAGTTGTAAAACACTAAACAGTTTCAAGATAGAGACCATTATGAACGCTAAACCAATTTCAATTTAGGTTTTTCATACATTACAAGTTTCAGGTTGCAGAATTGTTTAAAGTCGAAGTAAATTTTTCAGAAAGCAAAATGAACCCCTTCTTTGGTATTTCGTAGTAGTTGCATATATGGCGTTTCACTCCCCTCACGATTACCAAAAGTATAACTTGTGGCTTTATATAGAATGTTCCGATCCATTCACGCAAATCTGTCTTGCATTAACGTGCCTTGTTTCCCTGATATAGCAATATAGCAATGTAGATTTGTTTCCACGATGCAGATAACGTTGCCTTCATCAGGAAATTAAAATTGTATGCTATTGTCAAATGATTGGTAGTATGTTCTCTGGTAACACTTATTTGACTCGGGGTAAGCTTTAATTTTTCCAAATGCTGCTGTTGCGAGTCACAACATATCCGGACACTCCTGCATATTGATGTTCCACCACAATATAATGATATTATTTATAAAAAAAAACTTTTTAAATTCAACAGATTTTTTTGTTTGTATGTTTATTTACGATTTGAATTTGTGCACCAATTTATTATTATTATTATTATTATTATTATTATTATTATTATTATTATTATTATTATTATTATTATTATTGTTGTTGTTGTTGTTGTTGTTGTTGTCGTTGTTGTTGTATTATACCAACAAAAAAAATTTTTTGATGTCTACGATTGAATTTATTTCATTACTGACAAAGTTCATATAGTGAATTTCAATTGAGGCAAACTTTATTTGTTCAACAATTCACTTTTTTATCAACTATCGCGCGTTATTATTGTGAAAAATTTACAGTAGGGATCGAGGATGGTTCAGCATTCACTGTAGCATAGATTCATAATATTATGCAAAATTTCATCATTTAGGAGAAATAATGAAATATTTTTCATCGGCTACTTCAATGATATCTTCAATTCCTATGTTATTTATTACACAATCATAGCATGTGGACTTGTGTTATTAAATTAATAAATCTATAAACATGTCAAATTGCATTCTTTTTTTTAATTATACATGTAATAATAATATGCTTGATGGGTTTCGACCGAGGCTTTGATAAAGAAGTGTTGCCATTTAATAAATTAAATCTAAACCATCGTATTATAAATAAAAAATAAAATAGATAAAGTATTGCTAGTGAATTACCTCCAAGTATTGATCAAAACAAATAATCAATTTTGACATTTTTAATATTAAAATCTACGATTAAAATAAATTCTGTGATACAAAATCTTATTGCATCTTTTTAATGAAATATACAGAAACTACGTGAAAATAAGAATTAATACAACAATCAATTCTTAGAGTTGGTAAACACCATGTGCTGGAGAGCACACAAATTTAATCATCACATATTTGATAAATTTCCATGTTGGTTTTACAAAAATCGAGCTTGGTCCTTTATAGAATTAATTACTATTTTTGGTAGAGTTCTGTAAATTCTTTTAAAAGAACCTTTCAGTATATAATATTTTCCTTTAAAATATAATAGAAAAAATCAATATGATTAGACAAAGCTTCATGTTCTCTCAAGACATTCATGGTGCGATGTGTTTTGTGATGTATAACGTCATGCGTTTATTATCTATTATTTCTCAAACAAAAACACGAAAATTCGGGTGTAAATGTTATCATATATTTATTGAAAAATAGAATATTTTATTTATTTATGCATGTTAAATTAATTGCTATATAAAAGCAGAACGTTATTCCCATTAAAAAAAAAATCAATATTCTTTTTTTTCAAAATGTTACCTTTAAATTCGGCCAAGCGAACTTGTCTATCTGAATCACCATATTCCTCTAGCTTCGTCACCATTCCCAACATTAATAACATTGATATAATACAACAACAGCAACTTATATCAAAACAATTTTATCAACAGCATCGTCATCGTTTATTATCAGATTTGGATATTATTCCTCCCAATGATCCAAATGATGATGACAATCTTCGTCATAAACAACCATTTAATTCATCAATCTCGACATCAAGTCCTCAACAAGAACAACAAATTTTTACTAAAAGTGATATTCATAGAATCGAAAAAAATATTGATTTAATTCTTGAAAATGTTTTAACACAACAATCAAAAGATGTCAATAATAATAATAATAACAACAAATTGACCCACTTCTCTTCAAACAACAACAAGCCACAACCTTATTCACCATCACCTTCTTCAGATAATTCAATCATTCTTGATTTTCCGATTTTATCAAGTCCAAAAATCGAAGAAAAACATATCAAATCACCTTTATCCACGCTATTGAATCGTACTTTTCCTAATGACGTCGTAGAATTAGTAGATAAATTAAGCAAATTGCCTAAAAATAATTCCAATTTGGATATTAACGATCCAATCAACAATAATTTTTCTCGAGCAGCATTACCAAATTCTAATAATAATTCGTTAACTTCGTCATCATTGTCATCTCCATCGTCATCGTCACCTCCGCCGTCATCATCATCGTCGTCATCATCATCTCCTTCACCACCATCCATATTTTCTTCACCGCAACCTTCACCACCATCCAAAGAATTATGTCAAAAGTTGTTGCAAGGCTATTTCACAAAATTAAATCCAATAATACCAATTCTTGATCAAAGAAAATTCACTGATATTTGGCTGAGAAAAGACAAACCCATCCACTCCAAACTATTGATCTATTCAACTTTGGCTTTTGCTGCTTCGAAATTATCTAACGACCCATCAATTCAAAAAACCGAAAACAAACCTGGCGGTGTGTTCTTTGATGCTGCAAAGGTAATAAATAATTAAAATGTGATTAATCATTTGAATTTAATTTAATATTTGTAATTAATTATATTTTGCTTGAGTATAGAAAATTTTGGATTCGGTATATGATGAACCTAAATTAGAAACTATTCAATCTTTGTTGCTTCTAGCAAGTTCCGAAAGGGCTCTTTCAAGATTTAATAGCGCTTTAATGTTTTCAAATATGGCCGGTACGTCTAATGTATATAATGCTCACAATGTATTTAAATTTAAATATTCTTATGCTCATCATGCTCACATTCATATTATTGCATTCATATTTCATAGTTACAATGGCAAATTTCTTGGAACTTGAACGCGTAGATAATTCATTGACACCAGGGGAAGAGGAAGAAAGGCATAGAATCTTTTATTGCGTCTACATGATGAGTAGACGGTGATGAATCAATTAACAACCTTGATAATCCGACTCCTCTCTTAGGATAAAAAATTCAGGACTCCTCCTTTTTTTTTTGGGAATTTGTTGAGGTCTCTCCTATAATTATTAAGGATACCTGTCGAAATTAAAAAAACGGGTCGCAATTAGGTTGCAACAATCATCAAAAGTTGCAGTCGGTATCTTTACCTATAATCAGAAAATCTTTCCTCCTTTGCTATGTTCAGGAATTGTAATTACTAAATAAATCTGTATAGGCGTAAAAGGGATAGTTTTAGTGTTGGCTGGTCAACAGAACCGTTTTTTGTTGGCACATTTTCATATGCACAATGTAAGGTTTTAATTTGCACATTACTTGATTTTTTAATTATATATTCACTTCAATCACAGTTGTTCGAAATGATTCTAATATTCTAATTTCACACAAAAAGTTACTATGGCGCAGAAACTCAACCTTACAATTGTACGG